GCTGCACTGTGGGCGATTTTCCAGCAGACCCATTCCAAGCCTGCAAAAGGCTCAATTCTTTCCTGACTCTGTGGTATGGGGCCAGCAGAAACAAGAAGCCTGAAGAGAGGCTGGCTTTGAAAGAAGCCTGTCCAAATCTCAAAGGCTCTGAAATCAAGCAAATTGTGAACAGTTTACATGAATACAAAACCTGGCTCAAGAAAAAAAGAGCAACATGAAAACTGGTGAGAAAACCGACCCTGCGCTGAAAACACTTTTGCAAATGATTTTTAGGGAAGAAGTGCCAAGCCTGAAAAAGGCTGGGAGCGGTAGCAGCAGTAGCACTGAGCCTGCAAAAAGGATGTTTGGGAAGCAGTCACCTGAAGCAAAGGGAAGCCAGCCTGCAAAGGCTTGCGCAAAGGCACTAGAAAGCAAGCCCGTGAAGCCTGTGAAGGCTATCAGGTTTACAGCTCTGAGAAGAGTGGATCTGGGCAGAGCGCAGATACCCAAAGTCTGGTTTCAGTGTCAAGCTCTGGCATTGTCCATGCATCAGAGCTGTCAGAGGTTGAGGAAGTGGAAGAACCAATTGTGAAGAAGCCTGCAAAGGCTGGTGCTTCCAAAAAACCTGCTACCAAAAGGCCAGCAGGCAGCAAGGCAAAGGCAAGGAAACAGCTTGCAAAGGGAAAGCCTGCAAAGGCTGAAGCAAATGAGGAAGAGGCTGGTGGAGAGCCTGCAAAGGCTAAAGGCAGAACTTAGCTTGCTTCCGAAAGCTTTGGGTTTGTAAAGGAAACCAGGGCTGCCAAGAAAGCTTACATCCAAGCAAAGCCAGACATGGCTGGAAAACCCAATTGCCTTGTCAATGTGGAGCTTTCCAAAGGGAAGCAGCAAGAAGAAGTCATGGATCAGCTGATAGAAAAATCCTGCCAAGGAGGCTGGACAAAAGAGACACTTGTGAAACACAAAAATGAATTGCTTAAACCATGAAAAGGCTCTTTGGCAGTTTTGGTAGATGCTTTGATAGAGTAGGTAGCAGAAGTGTATGTAAGCCTGAGAAGGCTGCTTGACTTTTTGTACTTGGTTGAAAGTGTGCTGGCTGGAGGTTTGCTGGCTGAGTGCGCAAAAGCGTGTGGGGGTGACAAAAGCAGTTGAAACAAGGAGCCTAACACCCATTAGAAGGGTTTGGAAGGGCACCCCTGCCGGAGCTGAACAAGGTGATTTGAGCGGTCATGCAATGAAAAAGCCTGAGAAGGCTGTGGAGCATGAAAAGGATGAGCCTGAAAAGGGTGAGCCTGAAAAGGCTGACTCCAAAACCAAGAAAAGGAAAAAGAAAAAGACAAAGAAAAAGACAAGGGATGCCAAGGAGGGCTGAGGGAGGGGGTGGCAAGAAGGATCCCCCTCCTGATGGAGATTCTGCAATGGCCTCTGAAGCCACAGCTTCAGCCTGAGCAAGGCTTAAAATTCAGCCCAAGCCTGACAAAGGCTGTATTTTTCAGCTCTGAGAAAGGCTGTAGATTCAAGCTTAAGCCTGGAAAAGGCTGTAGTGTCCAGCTCTTCACTGAAGAAGCAGTGTTTTTTGAAAGCGCGCAAATGCTGGGGGGGAGGGTTGGGAATCCCACCACAAAAAGTCAGAAATTATAACTTCCTAACTTTTGAGGTTTCCTTTAAAGCAGTCAAAGGACAGCTTGCTAAAAGGCAATTCTTTTACAACATTTTCCTTTTGGATCCAGAAGCAGGCAAGAAGGAATTGCGCAAGGGAAGCCTGGAAAGGCTGAGCAATGAGAGCACCAAGCTCAAAGGCTGGATCACCAAATAGGAGGTAGGGAAGCTGCATGGGGCAGACCCACCCATGCCAAATTTTGAAGCATTGTGTGATGCAGCCTGTGAAGGCTTGAAATCCAGGAATGGCTTTGCTGGAAAAAGAATGCCTGCAAGGGCAGCTTTGATTGAATTGAGAGGCGATTGGGAACACCTTTGCAAGTGGTTTGGTGTGCCCCAACACAACACCAAGGCTGGCTGTTGCTGGCTGTGCACAGCCAAGCCAGATGATTGGAAGGGGTTAAGAATTCAAGAAAGAAAAGAAAGAAGCCTGGAAGAGGCTGGGTGGCTTGCAAGCCTTGCAAGCAGGAAAGTTAAACCCAATCCTTTGTTCCAATTGCCTGGAGTTAGCAATTGGACGATGTATCCAGACTGGATGCATGTGGCTGATGAAGGATGTGTATCTCTGGCTGCAGGCCAGATCCTGTGGGATTTGTTGGACCAATACCCTTCCAGCCATCAATCAGGCAAAGCAGCTGAGATGTGGGAACATAAACAGACTTTGTATGAAGCCAGCAACTGGCATGGTGCCAACAGGCTGCCGAAGTTGAATTTGAAGGATTTCAAAAAGCCTGGGAAGGCTGCAGATCTGGATGTGAAAGCTGCCCAGTGCAGGCACTTCATTCCCATGCTGCCACAATTGACAAAAGCTCATGGCTACCATGTTGGCAGCAACCACAAAAAACAGTACACAATGTCGCCCAATATTGCGCCAACATGTATCCTTTGGAGGTTTGGGGCAAGCTAGCAATGGCTAAAAATGGCCACAAATTCATCAACCAATACTTGATGCTGGAAAAGCATGCGGTCAAGAAAGACCCTTTGGACACCCACACTTGGAGAGCCAGGCCAAAATTTCACCTTTTACAGCACTTGCTTGACCTAGCCTGCAAAGGCTTGCCCCCCAAAGATGTTTGGAATATAGATATGAAACATTTGGATATACGATACAACAACTGTGGTTCAGAAGGGGTGGCAGGGTTTTCAGCCCTGGTGTGGAATCAGAAAAAGTGCTGCTGAGATGGTCTAATGTGCAGCAGCCTTGGAGCCTGCAACAGGCTACAGCAGCCTCAACCAGCAAAGGTTAAGCCTGAAAGAGGCTGTAGCTTAACCTTAAGCCAAAGAGCTTGTAGTCGAAGAAATGAAAAAGAAGCATTCTTGCTGCTTTCATGTGCACTTTCTAGAAGTCAAAAAAACTGTCTGCTGGAGGGGCTCTGAGAAGACAAATTGTTTGACTTCTAGAAGTCAAAAATTTTTGTCTTCTCGCAACTTTTTCAGAAGTCAACTTTTCTGTCTTCTCATCAGTTTTGTCAGAAGACAAAAGACCTGGCTGCCAATCAAAAAAACTGTCTGGCAGATTTTGTTGTTTCAAAAGTGTCTTCTCGGAAGCTTCGGGTACAAATACAGCGAAATAGTTAGACATTCCATGGCTTTCAAAGTTGTCAACGCTTCCATCTGCTCCTATTAAATCTATGTTTAAAAAGCTGCAGCAGGTTCCCCTTGCCACAGCTTGACGATGTAAAGCCCCGCAATGATTGTCGCACTACTAGAATGATTATTGGTTTTCACGATACAGAAACCAAGCGTCAGCAATGTCAATCCAATTGCACAGCATACCTCCTTACTACTATGCAGCCTCTACAGAATGACTGGGGCAGTCAATCTTGGACCCTCCCGTTCTGGAAAGCGAGAAACAACTCGTTCTGAAGTTGAAAGGAAACAACATAAACAAAAATTCCTTGAGAAAGAGCAAGGCTTCATTTTGGAAGTTGTACTTTGCCTGGATGTCCAAGCACTTCTGTCTGGAGATAGTCACCCACTGGCTGCTGTTCTTCACCAACTCTGGATCAAGGCCCTGCCCTTGCAAATAGCCCAGGGAATATCCATACAAATCATCATATGAATAGTGCGAGGAGTCCATGTAGGTTGTGATCGTCCGACCCTCAAAATTGTAAGTGATGAGCGGACCTTGATCTTTCCCTCGGTACAGGGGACCCCTTAGACCAAGGATGCCCACTTTTGCATACTCGACAAAATCCGGGTCTCTAGGTAAAGGCGTCACCCAAAAGCCAGTTTGATTGAAATAGCAATACCCATCGATTCCCGGATGTTCGGCCATCACCTCTGGAACTGGTCGATGGCAATCTTGCCCATGTGTGTGTATTTTGCAATTGTTGCTGTGCAAAAAAAGTTTGCTGTTGGATCACACTTGTCCTCAACCAAACGCCCACAATTCGTCAAATCTCCTTCTCTTCCTCTTGCAAACTTTTTCTGTGTTTCCACCTGCAGCAAAAAGTTCATGATAGACGCAGGTTCGACGCAGTCATCATCCAAAGGGGTCGCCATAGCAACCCCAATTAACATGCAGATCAATACCATGGCCATGAGTCTTCAGCCTGTGCCCTAGTCTAGAGTATAGGGGTTCTGTGGGCCATTGCACGGCGGCACAATAGCAAAATGGAAGCTGCTGGATGGATGGATTACCATCCATTTCGAAACGCCCAGGTGCGTGAAGTATATCAATTATATGGGTGTGTATCAAAATAGGGATACCTCCTAAAGACCTCTGGAAGAAGGAAAATGACTAAAACATACTGGTTGGGTGTCATCAGAGTTCAGCATGCTGATTTGTTGAACTCCTTGAGTTCAGTTGTACCATGAACGGGTGCACAAACAAGATGCTTGTTGGGTGAGTCCTTTGCAGGTTTTGGGTGGATGCCAAGAACACAATGATGGGATTCAACAAACCTTAACATCGCCGGACCCAGGCTAACTCTGTGAATCTTGAAAAAACAAAAACAAAGCAAACAAAAAGCAACTACAAAAAGCAAAAACAACAACACAAAAATCCAAAAAGCAAAAAAAAACATGAAAAAACACAAGACAAAATAACAGATCCAACAAGCGAAAGCAAGTTTCCGCTTTGTGTTTCGCTCTTTTGTTTGTTTGTTCGCCTTTTTTTGTGGTTTTCCCCTTGTTTTATTAGTGTTTGTTGTTTAAATCCCTCTTTTTTGCTTGCCCGCATTGTTTCTTGTTTTTTGCTTTTTGTTTCGCTGTTTTTTGGCTTTTTGCTTTTTCATGGTTTTGTTTTCGCTTGTTTTGTTTGCTTTTTGTTTTTTTCCTGTGCATTGTTTTCTTGTTTTGCTTTTTTGCTCGTTCTTCCTCCATGTTTTCTTTTTGCATTGTCATTGTTTTTTTTTGGCTGTGTGTTTTGTTTGATTGTTTTTTGCTTCTTGATTTGCTTTTGTGTTGCTTTTTGGATTTGTTTTTGCTTCTGCTGTTTGTAGTTGTTTTTTTTGGCTTTTCCTTTTTTGTTTCTTTGTCTGTTTGCTTCTTAACTTGCTTTTGTGTTGCTTTTTGGATTTGCTTTTTTTTGCATTTGCTTGTTCATTGTTTTTTTTTCGCTTTTTGGATGTGTTTTTTGCTTTTGCTTTTTGTAGTTGATTTTTTGGTTAATTTTTTTCGTTGTTTTTTGCTTCTTAATTTGCTTTTGTGTTGCTTTTTGGATTTGCTTTTTGTTGCTTTTGCTTGTTCATGTTTTTTGCTTTTTGGATATGTGTTTTTGCTTTTGTTTTTTGTAGTTGCTGCTGTTTTGGTGTCTTCGGTTTCTGCTTCTTAATTAGCTTCTGTGTTGTTTTTTGGATTTGCTTTTCTTGCTTTTGCTCGTTATTTTTGTTGCTTTTTTGGATACTTTTTTTGCTTTTGCTTTTTGTAATTGCTTTTTTTGCCTTTTTTTTTCGTTTGTTTGTTGTTTGCTTCTTAATTTGCTTTTGTGTTGCTTTTTGGATTTGTTGTTCTTGCTGTTGCTTGTTCATTTTTTTCTGTTTGAATTCTTTTTTTGCTTTTGTTTTTGTAGTTGCTTTTTTGGGGCTTTATTTTTTGCGTTTCTTTGTTGTTTGCTTCTTAATTTGCGTTTGTGTTGCTTTTTGGATTTGTTCTTTTTGTTTTTGCTTGATCATTTGTTTTTTTGCTTTTTGGATTCTTTTTTGCTTTTGTTTTTTGTAGTTGTTTTTTTTGCTTTTTCTTTTTTTGTTTCTTTGTTTTTTGCTTCTTAATTTGCTTTTGTGTTGCTTTTTCGATTTGCTTTTTTTGCTCTTGCTTGTTCATTTGTTTTGTTTTTTTTGCATTTTGGATTTGTTTTTTTGCTTTTGCTTTTTGTAGTCGCTTTTTTTGGCTTTTAATGTGTTTTGTTTAT